AAGTATTTTTGCAACAGTTTGGAATTGATAATCACTTTCATATCACAGATGGCTACACTGAATAATAATAATAATAAGGTAAGCTTGGCAGGCCTAGATTTCTGGGTTTCAGCCCTATAGTTTCAACAGTCATCAATTCTAGACATCTCAAGAACTTTTGTCAAGAGAAATCCTCTCTTTTTTTCCCCACTTTTTAAAAATTCATTTATTCACATGTGCATACATTGTTTGGGTCATTTTTCCCCCCTGCCCCCCTCACCCACCCTCTTCCCCCCTCCCTCCCCTCAGTTCCAGGCAGGTCCTGTTCTGCCTTTATCACTAGTTTTGTTGAAGAAAAGAGACATAGCTAATAAGGAAGACAAAGTGTTTTTGCTGGTTGAGTTGAGGATAGCTATCCAGAAATATTGCTAGCATTGCTTTCGTGTACACGTGTTATGACCAATGTTGATTCATCTCTAACTGATCTTTACCCTGGTTACTGATCCCCTTCTCATGATAACCTCTGTTGTTTTAAGGTTTCTGTATTAGTTCCTCTGGAGTGGGGACATCAAACGCTTTCATGTTTTGGATTTTCTACCTATTTCTATATCACCCATATGTGCTCTCCCCTTATCATGTGATCCCAGTCTGACCACATTGCTGCATTTGCCCTAGATCTAAAGTCTGCACATGAGGGAGAACATACGATTTTTGGTCTTCTGAGCTTGGCTGACCTCACTCAGAATGATGTTCTCTAGTTCCATCCATTTACCTGCAAATGATAAGATTTCATTTTTCTTCATGACTGAGTAAGATTCCATTGTGTACAGGTACCACATTTTATTGATCCATTCGTCAGTGGTGAGGCATCTTGGTTGTTTCCATAACTTGGCTATTGTGAATAGTGCTGCAATAAACATGGGTGTGCAGGTGCCTCTGGAGTTACCTATGTTGCATTCCTTTGGGTATATCCCCAGGAGTGGGATTGCTGGATCGTATGGCAGGTCTATGTAAGAAGAACCCTCTTGCTATTAATAAATGAGCCAATTTCTAGCTAAGAGCCCCAGAATTCCTTCTGAGAGTTGTGGCAGGGCAATTGAGGGTTTGCACTTTGACTCATTTCCAGTTTTACCCCTCACTAGCTACAGGTGGTGGTTCTGACCAATAGCGTTGAGTGAAACATGGGAGACACTAGAATCGTACTGGATAACTGAAAGCTGCAAATGCTGTTACTTAGAGAGTCCAAGCCCTTCCATTTCCCATGAAGGAAGACTTCCTTAATGCTCTAGATATTTATATATAGTCTACCCCGGGAATCTGTGCATTCTACATCTGTCGGTCCTGCATACACAGATTCAGCCAATCATGGAGCAAAAATGTTCTATTTGGGGGTGTGACTCAAGTGCCTAGGAAAACTACAGTACCATCAAAAAAAAATTCTTAAAAAATTGCATCTGTATTGAGAATGAATGAGGATTTTTTCGCGTCACTATTGCCTAAGCAATACAGCATACCAACTGCATAGGGTTTACATTGTATGAGATAGTGTAAGTAATCCACAGATGACTTAAATATGCAGGATGGTATGTGTAGGTTCTGTGCAAATACTGTATCATCTTATACAGGGATTTGAGCACCCCCTGATTTAGATGCAGATCCTAGAGCCAATCCCCACGACTATTGAGAGAATATGGTGATTACCTGTATTCAAGGGAAGCTGGAAGGGAGGGAGACTTTTTATGTGGAAGTATAAAAAAAATTTTTAGATGAAAAATGGTCACTAGTAGGTTATGTAAAACCGTCTGTAGCCAAAAGCCACTGGAGTTGATGACCAGGCCAGTATCCAGTGCCAACAAGGGAGAGCCATTTTAAAATGAATTCTTGCCAGAGGCCCTTAAGAAGCTCTCTCATTTCCTTCACTGAAATGATGCTACTCACTTTAAAAGAAGTATCTGAAATCTGAGAAAGAAGGGATAGAATTGTCAGGAAAGAAGATTCCCCTAGAGCAAGCTCTTGTTGGTAGCATATCACCTGCATTGCAAAGCCCAGTTATTAATGATAAAAATGCAATTTCAAAGTGTTTTCTCTTTTCAAATCAAAGAAAATAGGGCTTGGAAAGCATGAGGGATTTGGTAAATAGGTCATGCATCTGTCCCACATGCTGCCTGGGAGACATAGGGCTCTACAGAAATCATCTTAGAATTAAAATGTGGTTGCAAATTAATTTATTCATTCAGCAGTTATTTTGCAAGGAGCAGACCATACCATATAAAGCATGAGGTATCCTTGGAAGCCACAGGGGACCTTACACTGTGCAGAATCTTACAAGCAGATTTGGTACAGGGTTCAGCAGGCCCAAGGAATTTTGCCTCTTGCAGAATTTCTTCTGGTTTCTCTCCCCGCTAAGCCAGTATATTTCAGGGAGAGCTCTTTGTTTTGGAGGGCAAGGGCTATTGCCAGAGAGACCAAGCTGTCTGCTCAGTGGTGAGCACCTCTGTCCACTGCAGACCCTGGGCCTTCTCAGGAGCCCGGGAGGTTCCTGTGGCCTGGGCCTCTTTTCTTGCATTGGAGAGTCCTGCCCTGTGGTGACTTCATGCATGGTTTGCCACCATGGGTTTGCAGCACATATCTCTACAGATGTGCAATGAGACAGCCAGTCTAGAACTTTCAATTTGGTTTGCTCTCTTTATCCACTCAGCCAACAAATACTGATTGAGAATTCTGCCTTGTGCTGCTGTATTCTAGGTAGGATGAATAAGGTTTATTTGTGGACTTGAAATTGACAGAGAGACAAATGTGGGAACCTGCAAAGGCCCAAATCAGAAAAGAACAGGACATAGTCAGACCATGGTGATTGCCTTATGGCTGAAGTGTGGCATGGATGGGGATTTAGGGAGACTGGTCCCTAGGTTGTGACTCCAACTCCAAGCTTAGTCTGCACACCATATGGTGTGGCAGTTGCAGCAGTAGCAGTGGAGAGGCTCTGAACACTTTAAGCAATAAGTCGGTATACTAAGACGGCCCACCCTTGAGACATTCTAGAAGTGAACTCAGTACAGTGTTGCTGTAGCTGCCCCTCTTTCAGCCTGGTAAGCGAGCAGTGCAGGGTGGGAATCAGCGCTCCAAGCCTTCCGCCATCCTGCCTCTCTGACTTGCATTTGTAAAACAACAGGAATGTTCTCCTATCCTAACCAGAATGTTTTGAGAAGCCATTAAAATCATGGGTGTGGAAACGCTTTGAAAAATGAAGTCATTATTAAAAACAAGAAGGTGTGTGGGCAGTGGGCCGAACAATATTGTTATTTTTAATATTGTAGCAAATCTCTTGTTACTACATCCATTCCCCTTGAAATTACTCTTAAGGAGAAAGCGAGTAAGAGGACACCGCAGAGCCTGAACAGCAGGAAATGTGTGCCTCCATCAGGACTGCAGGGCAGCAGGGCCTCTGCAGCCTGAGGAGCACCCAGAGGACTGGCTGGGTGGTGCAGGAAGCCGAGCAGTCACAGCATCAGGGCCCATCTTGATCTGTAAACAGATAGGCCTGCCCACAAACCACCTTCAGCGACACAGAGGAGCCCCAGGAAGCACCCAAACACCAGGCTTAGGGGTTCCCCACAGACGGGAGTGGGGAGGACACACCAGCCCCCACCTCTGGTGAATGGGAGTGGTTTCCAGGTGACTCATCTGAGTAAAATGCAATAAAGAAAACAGAGGTTGATAGCATTACTCCAAGTAAGCCAGCCCCTCATTGTGTTCTGCCTTATCTCAGGATCAAAGAAGGAAGTCAGGAAGGCTTGGCTGAGTTCTCCCAGAACCCAGGCAGTTCTGTTCTGCCCTTTTCTTTGTAAGAACAACTGTTCTTGACTTGGGCTTGACTTGGGTAGGAAGTGAAGTCTCCACCTGGCGTAGAGCTTGCTACTGTTGCTAGAGAGGCAGGATGGGGCCTTGGAGAGGAGCCGGCCTTTGGCCTCCAGCCTCTGCCAAACACCAGTTCTGTAGTCTTTGCAAACAGCTTACCTTTCTGGCGCCCAGTTCCTCTGTGTCAAGAATGGAGGTAATAATAATACTTGCTTCTCAGGGTTGCCATGAAGGTTACTTTGTTAAATCTACATGAAGTGCCTGCCACAGGGCCTGAGGAAGTAAGCCCTTCATATACATGGCTAATGTAGTGATTACAGTGTTAAGTGGACAGTTATCTCCACTGGTTAGAGTCAGATGCAATAATATTGTGGGTGTCTATTGCCTTACGTCCTCCCTCATTGGCTGGTTTCTTCTGATACAGCCTCCTGCTTGCCCAGTGACTACGGTATTGCCCTCTACAGGAAAAAATTCACACAAAACCAGTTCCTTATCGCCGTGTCCCAAGCTTTTGTCGTCAACCAAAAGCCCTCCTCTGCCCCATCCCCACTCCTACCCCCAGCAGCTTCGTCCTCTGTGCCTGGGAAACCACTCTGCCCTTCCAAACACTTGGCCTTGGGTCTTTCAGAAATGAAGGCAGTCATTACACCCAGAGGACCAGAAGCCCAGGAGCTCAGGTGAGGCCTAGGTTTGTGGGTGTATGTTCAGTTCTGGCACAGCATCTGATCACCCCTGGACTCAGTGTCACCCATCTCATGTGTATGGTAGTACTCTCTCTGCACAAAGGGATAGAAGCCTGACATGTAGTGGCTGGCCTGTACAGGGGCCAGATGTGGAGACCACTCAGCCCACAAGCTCTGGGAGATGGGAGATAGGGAGATGTACCCTCCCCCCTTTCTGGCTATGTGTCCTGACCAGCATCCTTCACCTCCTTAAGCTTTGCTTCCTTCTGTGGTCACTGGGAGTGGTTGCACGGGTTTATGAGACGACATATAGGAAGTACCCTGCCAGACTTCAACAAGTTTCCCATTGCAGTATTGACAACTGGGTGCCCTGCAGTGCCAGATCCAGGCAGGTAGGTGGGAGGAAGCCATGCTGCTGGCTCTGGCGCTGTGCTGGCGGGGCTCTTGAGTGAATGGTCGCCCATGGCCTCTCATCCACAGGGCTCTATGTGCTGGTTGGAGCTGGGGTCCTGATGATGGTCCTGGGGTTCTTCGGTTGCTGTGGAGCCATGAGGGAGTCCCAGTGTGTGCTCGGATCAGTAAGTGGGCTCAGGGGCTGGGCTTGGGCATGGACGTGGGGTGGGGGTAGGGGGAAGTGGTTTTCAGGGAGTCAGGACACTTGGCCGGCAGCACCAGCTTCTCTAGGACTCCCTGAGCCTTGCTGTCTCTCCTGCGTAAGAGTAAGAGTTACCTTGTTACTGGTCCCTGCCTCCTGTGGAAAGTGGAAAATAAAAATTAAGTCATTAGTATAAACATGTCTAAGGAGAGACGTGTCTAGCAATTGTAGAGGGTGATTATGATAGTTCTTTCAAAAATAATATTTCACTGTGGGTGAGGCAGCTGAAAGCTTCCCTCCCATAGCTAGGGAATTGCTATCTGCAAGGAAAGCACATCTGGTTAAGACCAATAACTTAACCAAACATCCCTCTTGAGACTTATTTTAACCAGCAGCCTCCATTTAAAAAGAAATGAAATAATTTCAGTTAACTGCTATCCAGCCAGTGCTGATGTAGCTTAAGAGAAACAAGAAGGCAGGAGATGGGCAGGAAAAGAGCGAGTGTTTGTGTTTCTCCATGGGGAGGTGGGAAGCAGCTGTTTTATTACTCTCATTCCTTATTACTCACTGCAGTCTTGGGATTGTTTTTAATCTCTGGTTGCTCCTGATCTCTCACTATGTAAAATGTCTAATTTGTTTCTTCACCCATCCATTCCTCTCTCTTTCCTTTAATGGCCAAGCATCTCTCTGTCTTACCACTAAACTAAGTTTGATCATTACAAACCCAAGACCTGAACAGAAATCCATCCAGCAGAAGACTCTGCACACCCCCTCCCATCTACTCCCTCTCCTCAGAGAAGCCTTTCAGCCATGATGCTTTCGTCACACCTTTTCCCCAAGCCCAGGCGTTGTTGGTGACTCTGTCTCCTGACCTTATTTTCTCTTTATAGAACTATTTTTGCTCTTGAAATACTTATAGAGCATGTAGGTGTGAGGCACTGTCTTACATGGTGGGATTTCTAGATCACTGTCTGAAATTCCCGTATTCATTTTTTTAATCTTTTACTCATTTATTTTATTTTCCCCGCCCAATACAATAGCAAAGATTTTGAGATCTTGTTCACCAATATATTCCCAGCACCAAGGACAGAACCTGGTGCAGAATAAATAAGGGCTGAATGAATGGACAAACAAGAATGAATGAGTGAGTGAGTGAATGGATGAATGAGTGAGTGGGTGGGTGAATGAATGAATGAGTGAATGAATTAATAAATGAATATGTGAATGAGTAAATGAATGAATGAACAAATGAACAAACTGAATGAAAGTGCCTCAGCTGTTGCAGAAAGGAAAGGAAGGGGGCAAATGCTTCCTACCAGACCAGTTCAAACTGGCAACCTTGCATAATTTCTTTCCAATGGAACTAGATTCAAAGAGACTAAATAAATTTAAAAGATATTAAATTAATGAAATTAGTATTTTCTCTCCTTGACAGTTTTTTACCTGCCTACTGGTGATATTTGCTGCTGAAGTAACCACTGGAGTATTTGCTTTTATAGGCAAGGATGTAGTAAGTAAAAAATATTTATAAGTTTTTATGATGGCTAAATTATGGCAAAAGATGTGACAATTTCATACCAAAAATGTTATTAAGAAGCCAAATACTCATCCAAATTACAGCTTAAGCAGAACTTTTCAGCTTAGACATGCACAGAACTGAGCATAGACATGAGTAAGAGGAATGGGGAAGAACCTAGACTGTCATTTGTCTTTAAGGCTTGGCCTGAACAGGGTCCATGTCACCATCAAACACTAAAGCCTGACCTGCTGTGTCCCAGTAATGAAACTGTTTAGAATTGTCACCCAACTCTTCGTGTCTGGAATAGGTTATCAGAAGAACTCAGAGAGGAAGAGAACTTTTAGACTGATAAACACACTGTTAGATAGAAATGGAAAGAAAAAGAAAGAAGAATGGAACCTTAAGTGTACTTACGTGTTTCAGATTAGTTCATGTGCCATTAACCCTGTGTTTTGAACTTATCTTAGACTAAAATAAAGTAAATATGTAAATGTCACCTTTGGAATTTTTCTAAAGTAGTTGGCTGAATTTATAGGTTAGTTTTAATTCAGGTCCGTATAGAAGTGAAACTAGATCTTAAGACCTTTTGAAATTCCTGTGGATTTTGGGTCACGTGCCTTTATACGAGAGAAAGCATTCTCTAAGCTGTATACGATATTTGACTGCATAAAGTCTTCCTTGGTAGTGAGCACCTTTTCAAACTATGCCAGGAGAAGACCTGAGACCTTTAAACCAGCGGGGCACTGTGAGTGCATAGGTCACAACACAGGTATGCATCAGAACTCTGGAGTGGAGCCCAGGAGTCTGGGGTCCAGTTGGTGCTGAAGCCCTCTGAGGTTTTGAAACCTCCACTCTGAAAAAAAGAAAATCTTTCCAGTCTATAAAAGCTGTTCTCAGTTAGTTTATCCTCAAAAGCATCTTAGGAACTCTAGAATCTATGTTCTGTTTCCTATGTGCAGAATCATCTTAAAATACAGATAAACTTGTAGAAAGGCAGTGGTTTTGAAGGGTATGGAAAAAAGGATTTTCTCTGGCTAAAAGAGGACATTTGAAACTTCCCACTCACTGTGCCCTCAACTTTCCTGGCCTTTTTTTTTTTTTTCAGGCTATCCGACACATACAGACCATGTATGAAGAGGCGTATAGTGATTACCTTAAAGACAGAGCAAGGGGAAATGGGACTCTCATCACCTTCCACTCAGCAGTGAGTAACTTTGCTTCTTCCATGACAGCACATCTTCTAAAGACCATGCATCAGCCAGGTTCTCTCTAATCACCTGCATTAAAAATAAGCATAAATTCAGTTAAGGGAAGCAGCAGTGTCCTGTTTTAGCCCTGATGACAGCGTAGTTTGTGGTCTGCCTAGAACCCCAGACTAGAAAGAGGCTTACCACAGAGCACACAAGAGGAAGTCAGGGCGCTTGCCCAAAAGAGACGAAAGAGCACAAACAAGAACACAGAGAAAGCCACCTAAATAAGTGGCTTAAACATGGCATTGTGGTGTGATGGAAGCAAGTGTGGGCTTCAAACCAGAAGAATTAATTCCTCGCTGCCTCTAAGCAGCTCTGTGATCCTGAGCAAGTTACTTGGCCTCCCTAATGCCCACTCTGCTCTCTCCTTTGCAAACTGGTACTGTGCAAGAGATTGATAATCCCTTCTGGAACATTCCATGGCACTGTGCTATCAGTGGGTTGCTTGGAGCTCCATGCAGTTAATCAGGAAGGCTTACAAAGGAGATGGGCCAGGCCAGAGTCCTGGCAGCCTGTGATATGGAGAAGTGGCTATGAACTTTTAGACCAAGTGTTTTCAGGTACCTGATTCTTCTCTATGACAAGAATGTCTTGGAAGGTGCCCCAGAGACATCAAGCAACACACACAGTCCTTTGTCTTAGCCCTAGGCAGGACACCTGTTTGCTAGCCAGACTTCAAGCCTGGTATTTTGGCCCCTGGACTTTCCTGCAGCGACTTCTCTCTGTCCCAGGCAGTCCCCAGTTAACAAGCCCTCCCCAAAGCTCACAAAACTTTATCTTCTCAGCAAATTATAGAACCCCCAGTCTGAAAGGACTCCAAAGGCCCTAACTCCTGTCTGAAAAGCAGTGCTTTACACCAACACTGTCAATTAGCTTCTCCCCTTGTTTGGATTGCCTTGAGTCACTTCCTATCATAAAACTCGGAAAGCCTTAGGGAAGGCCTTTCCTTGCTTTGCTAGCATGCTGATGTGACTCTTTGCTGTCTTGCCAGAAATCGCAGTTTAGGCCTTGTAGCTTTGCTGCTTTGGTACCACCAGTCCTTAGCAGCAGTTCCGAGACTCATAGCTGTTGTTTCTGCCTCTGATGTCCTAAAGTGCCTCTGTCCATCTCTCTCTCTCTCTCTCTCTCTCTCTCTCTCTCTCTTTCTTTGGTACTGGTGGAACTGGGATTTGAACTCAGGGTCTTGTGCTTGGTAGGCAAGTGCTGAACCATGAATCATATCCCTGCCCTCTAAATTCTGTTTTCTGGCTCTCTAGTTTCAGTGCTGTGGAAAAGAAAGCTCTGAACAGGTGCAACCCACATGCCCAAAGGAGCTTCTAGGCCACAAGGTAAGCTTCTTCTAGGATTCCCACCCCACACTACCCCCTGCCTACACACACACAGACACACACACTAGTGTGAAATGGTTAACACCATCAAGGAAGGGGCTCAGGTCCTATCTTCAAGGGATCCCGCAAGGCCCTCTCCTAGAGGATTCTGGGCCTCACTTTCTTCCATATCAAAGTCTCTTGGTACCCTGGAGGATGATGGTAGGGTCCACTTGCCAGTGATGATGCCATGTGCTTATGGTATTAAGCTGTCCAGCACCAGAGGTAGGTACCCCAAGAGTGTTGCCCCATATCTCTTTTGGGGAGACAGAGGGCTGCTAGATACATTTATTAAGTGCTGTGTCAGTTACTGAGCCACTAACACTATAAAAAAGACACGGTCCCTGTCCTCAGTGGCCACACAGACTAGTCAAGGGCTGTAGTGCTGTAAGTCTGTACAGAGTTAGGGAAGCTTCATGTAGAAGGGGACCCTTGAGCTGATTTTTGACAAAGGAAGGTCTTTCCAGTCCCAGAAAGCAGCAGAAACAGCAGCCGGGGGGGGGGTGCAAAACTCCAGTTCTGCAGAACAGGGAGCACAGGTGGAACGGCGAGAGACATTTTGGAAGAGGCAGACAAAGCCATGATCTTATACCTGGAGGTTTAAGGACACCATTCGTTTCAGCAGGGAATGAAACGTAATCAGTTTTGCAGTGTAGGAAGAGTTACCTGGGCTGATGAGTGAAGGCTGGAGACTAATGGAGGGAAACCACTTAGGTGGCATCTGTGGTCACCTGATAAGAGAGAATGAGGGGCTAAAGCAAATCCCAGATAGCAGGGAAGAAGAGGGAGCGAGATATTCCAGAAATGGTCATGAGGAGGAATCCATAGGACTGGGTGGCTTATTGGGTGTGAGTGGTGAGTGAGAGGGAGGAGGTGAAGGTTTCTAGATTTTTCAGTTGTGTGATTGGATGGATAGAGGCTCCACTCATGGAAAAAGGTGAATATAGTGAAAAAAGCAGATTCTAAAGGCAGGTGACAACTTCACCTCTGCTCAAGTCTGTGCTTTAGGTACCTTAGGGGTGATATAAGGATGACAGTAGGAATCTCAGCACACCAGCAATCACCAAAGCCATGGGAGTGAGAGAGGATATAGGGTAAGGAAAGAGAAAGGATGCTGTCATTTAAGAGGCAGGCTGAGGACAAGAAGCTAGAACAAGAGGCTGTGAAGAAATCACAGCCCAGACTGAGTCCAGACTGGTGTCTGGGAAGGAAAGGGATGAAGTGGTTTGCCAATAGAGTCAAATAGTCTAATACTGGGAAGAGCACAAGTAAATGAAGATTGAAAATCATCTTGGATTAGTGGCTTAGAGGATCATTAGTGACCTTTGCCACAGAGTTTCAGTGACATCATCGGGGAAAGCACAGGTACAACAGGGGAAAGACAGGTGGAAATGTGAGAATATGGAGGCAATGATATAGATGCTTTTAAGGTATTTGGCAGTAAAGGGATGATGAGATGTAAGTTCCAATGAATGAGATGTAAGTTCAATGAATCATCACTGAACACTTACTGGGTCCTTCTGAGTTGGGTGAAATGAATGAGATGCTGCTGTCGAAGAGCTCACATCTGGCTGGGGAGCAATGGAAGAGAGCCATTTAACAACATATGAGCTCAGTTGAGGCTACATTAGTGGGAACGCCGTAGAACCCACCCAGTGCCCGTGGGAAGCTCAAGTGCCAGGAAGAATTTTCTAGGATGTCTAGGAGGATTTCAGGGAGCAACAAAAGAGAAGGGGACAGTCCAACCAGGGGGTTAGGGCAAAGTGTGGAGGCAAGTGGACATTCTTGTGTTCAGGTAGGGCCAGCATCAAGGAGCAGCAGAAAGCTGCAGGTGCCTGGGGGAGGTTACTTCTTCCAAGAAGAAGGATCCATTCCTGAAGGGTCTTAGATACTCTTGTGAAGCCAAAAGTCTAGCCGTGATGCTGCTAGCTCAGAGAGCCACAGAAGGTGGAACATGGGATAGGATTTGTATTTTATTGGATTTGTTCTGGTGGCAATGGGGAGTGTTGATAGGAAAAGAATAGTCTGAACTTGAGGAGACTAATTGGGAGGCTTGCCCCTTGTCGGCTAAGAGATGTTAACTGGACTGAGCAACAGGAATGGAGAGGAGGTAAAATCTGCAGGGCTAAGGACCAACCAGATATCAGAGGAGCAGGAAGCCACTGCTGGGTTTCTGGAGAAGGAGCCAATAATGAAGAAAAGAAAATAGTTCAGTGATTAAAATGGTGATTTGAAGAGGCTGGGCATTTTCCATGTGGAAATATACAATAGGCAGTTGGAAAATCTGGTTTGTGGCTCAGGAGAGATTGAAGTGTCAGTGATTTATGGAATCTTAAAGTTATAAATATAAATTTGACCTATGAGATTTGGAAGAAAAGAAGAACAAGGATAGAATCCTGGGGAGCAACATTTAAGGCTGGGATAAGACCCTGTGGCTAAACAAGGAAACTGGGAGGAGTAACCAGACGCAAGTGAGAAGACACAATGGAAGGAAGAGGAAATGGTTGTTGGGGCCAGGTGTGGCCATAGAGGTCAGGTTAGTGTTTAATCACTACCTACTGATATCAGAAGAACAGAGGTTGGAGGACCAAGTGAAGGCTGTCTAGTGGTAATGACATCTCAGCTACATCTTCTAAAATGAGAGGTAATTATGCAAACTGCTTTGGCTTTGTGCCAAGGGTATGAAAAGAGAGTTTATGAAAGATGAAATCCAAGTTGCCTTAAACACATTGAAAAGGTAGGCAATTAAAAGTGATCTTAAAAATTACTACCAGATTTAAATGAAAAGAAGCCATTGTTTAACTTGTGAGATTGGCAGTTTTTTTCCCCCTTTTAGTAATAACATGTAGTTAGGGGAAGAATGATATGAAGGGAACATTTTCAGAAAAATAGTACAGTAGACTTAGACATTAGAATGATTATGTAGAACTAGAGTGTGAAGTATGTTTGTGCCCTTTGACCCAGAATTTATTCTAAGGAAAAGAAATAAAAAATAGACAGAAGACAGGACTGTAATCCTACTTTCTCAGGAGGCAGAGATCAGGAGCATTACAGTTCAAAGCCAGCCCAAGCAAATAGTTTGCAAGGATCCTATCTCAAAAATACCCAACACAAAACAGGGTTGGTGGAATGGTTCAAGGTGTAGACCCTGAGTTCAAATCCCAGTGCCACCAAAAAAAAAAATGTGGGCAGAAATATTTGTTTTGGTACTCATTTCAGTGTTATTCATTAGAACAAAACATAGGTTCCTTAATGTGTGACAATAGGGAGTTGTTTAAATAAATTATGTTTCCTTCATATGATGAAACATTTTGCAACCATGAAGAATCAGTTTCAAGAAATTTTTGGTGAAATGATACATCTTCGAAGTATGATGTTAAGTTCAAAAAGCACACAGTTTAATAAAAAGAATGAAGTAGGTGTGTGGGAGTATTTGTGTAAAACTCACAGACAATGTGAGTTACTATCTTAGTGGGAGTACAGATGTTTCTTTTTTTTTTTCTATTAACATCTATTTTCCAAATTTCTTCAATAACCATGTATTCCAATGTATGTTTTGTTAGTTTATTTTTCACAAAAAGAAACTAAGATGGAACGGAGGGACGTGGGCAGTTTTATAAGAACCATTTTGTTTTGTCTTAGATTGAGTGTATAGAAGGAAAGAAGGCAGCTGGCAATACAGGCTTTCCGAAGAGATGAGAGGCGATGAGACTCAGAGCCAGAGAGGTATCCTTTCTGGCTCTGATGAGGGGAAAAGAAGACAGGAGACATTATTTGTCTTTTGTGTGCTTGCTACCTGAAACAGGTAGCGGAATCCACGTGGAGGAGAGGAAGGCTGGAAGCAGTGTTGTAGGTTGACTTCCATATTCTCCAGTATGTAAGGGAACTATCCTTTAGGGCAGTGCTTCTAACTTTTACCAGAATGTATTATAATTTTTGTGTGTGTGAGTGTGCTCCTTCTCTAAACTGAAAGCAAAAGAAGCCATGACTTATTGTCTCCACAATCCACCCATCCATTCCAGTGGCTGACTCAAAGTAGGTGCTCAGGAAATGGTTGTTGAATCAGGAAGTAGGAAAGGGAATGTGAGGAGAGTGGTGAGGGCTTCCTGTGGGTGTCACAGGGAGATGACTAGTGACAGGTATAAGGATCTGAGTAGCCTATGGATGCAGATGACTCGAGATCATACCTCTTCTTGAGAGGACTCCAAAAAGAAGCTTCTGAAGCTGAGGGAAGCTAGTAATGGTTACGAGCCATCTATTCTGTTCCCTGTCCAATTTTCCTCTACTCATAAAGGTCCTTTGAACTCAAGCTTAAAGAATCTCTTAGACGGACAACAATCCACAGTCCAACGCAGCCACTACTCCAAACACCTGCCTTTCCTAATTTGTGGGTTTCCTCTGTTTAATTTAAACCTGTACAGACCATTTCATTCCTTAATAGCTATAGACTGCCTTGCATAGTAAATTCAATCAAATAAAAACTCTTTTACACTATAAATGATTTTTAGAGCCATTTTTCCAAAATCGATTATCTTGCTAATATAAACTTCTTCCTCGCCAGTAGCTGTAACTGACAGCTTAAATGGACATAATGTTAATACAAAATGCAAAATATAATTTCATTAAAAACGAGGGATGGTTCTTTGAGGGATATTTTACTTATTTTTCTTCCCTGAAAGTAAGAGGAGGCCTCAACTTTTAAAATGCCCCAGATCCCAGAGAAGTAGCTTACACCAGCCAGATGTCAGAGCTCTGAAGCAGCCACTGGCCTTAACGGGAAAATCTGGGCAAACGGAGAGGGTGGCCCTTCCCTCAAACCACACCTTTCCTTGAAGGTTGTCAGGAAGATTTACCCTTGTGGAATGGTTTGCCTCTGAGCAGAAGCCGACCTGGATTAACTCACGATCTGTAGAGAAGGAAGTGATTGAGTCAAGGGATGATTCACACAGTGAGTTTTCATTCCTGACTGTTTTTCCAAAACAGAATTGCATTAATGAAATTGAAAGCATAATCAGCATGAAGCTCCAGCTCATCGGAATTGTCGGTATTGGAATCGCAGGCCTCACGGTGAGAAAGTTCCAGAACGTACCTTTTTTTTTTTTTTTTTGCCCTCCATGAAGGCTTGCATCAGATTGCTCCTCAAGTTTGACATGGCAGTGTGTTAAGATTGAATTCTCACGCAGGGCAAAGACATTTGTTTACAGTACATCTTCTAAGAACAAAACTAATGAATACATCAAGAGTAGTCCTCTAAAATATACAAATCTCAATGTTGCTTGAACTTTGACTTTGAGTTTGTCATTTCAAGAAGTTTCCTACTTTAAGGTTACCAATCTTAACCTAGGTGAGTAGTTTGTAATTCAAAATGATATAGCATCAGGTGACTCTCTTACCTCTGCTTTGAAGAAGCAGCATAGGATAGTGATTAATAGGGAAGTTTTGGCATCACAAGGTCTGGATTCAACTCTTGGGATTGTAGGAATGCATCTTCCTGTGCCTCAATTTCCTTGTCTGTCAACTGGGGTTTTAACACACCAACTTCATGAGATTGTTGTGAAAATTAAATGGAATACTACATGTAAAGTCTTATTACAAATGAATCTGGATGAAGTGCCTGGGACATAGAGCATTCAATAATGCTAGCTGTGTATGTAATGTGCATTCCTAAACCCAGAATCCCGGCAGAGGGAGAGCCATATGAGAAGGTTCTGTAGCTGGCTCAGTACTTCAAAAGTTCAGAAGGAGAGTGTATGGGAAGGACTGATAGCCATGGACAGGTATCGTAGGAGTGGCGAGGGATAGCCCTGGAGGGGGGTCAGGTCCACATAATTGAGGTTTTCGTGTGAACTTCCAAAAGGGTGGGCTTCATCCTTAGGGAGAGGGGAAACTTCGAAGGTGCAGGATGGAGGAACGGTTGGAGAGAGGCAAAATTGCAGTTGGAGGCCAGTGAAGAGGTGATTCCCATTGTCCAGAGGTTGGGTGGTGATAACTAATGCTAAGCTAGCACTGCTTTCCTGTCTGTATAAATTAACTCATAGCTTATGCCAAGGGCTATGCAAGAACAGTGAGAAAATCTAAGAATTGGTGGTGCTTAGGGGGCAATGAGCACTTTTGCCCTTTTCTCTTTGGAGCCCTGAGGAGTGGGGCAGTGGCTGGAAATACCCCAAAGACCTCCAAATCCAGGGACATCTCTCAGGCCCTCCCCGCCTGCTGTGGGGCTTGCCTGGTTTGCAATTCAGAAACTCCCCAAGGAAAACTCTGAAAATATTTTACATAGTAGAGGTATCAAATAGACCCTCCTAACAAAAATACAATCTCAAATGAACAGCCTGGATGCAGTCACCCCTGACTTATGACAGCACAGGCTTACTGAAGAAGTGTCTGAGGGGACCCCTTCCAACTACACCCAGGATGAGGTAGGAGTCCCATCCAACCTTACAACCACGGGAAAGAAGAAATAGCCTAAGATGCATTCCCAGAGTTTCTTCTTTAGTTCGTTTTTTATAAAATAAGATTGTAGTCAGTTAACCAAGTATCCGTTAGGTGTCTTCCCTGCCACACACTGGTACTGAGTTCTGTCACCTAGAACTTGAAATTGTTCCCGGCTATGTCCTTATGTCTACCCCTGTCCTTCCAGAACAACTGACCATTCACACCTTGTTGCCTTCAACATTTATAGACCCTAGTCTGAATTAGGATGGGATTGAAGTGAGAGTCAAAGAGTTATGGTGCCCATTTTTAAAGATAAACATTGACAGTCATTTATAAAAGGGTATCCCACAGACAGAGTTCTATGGGCTGTCGGTGGGGTCGTAGGGCAAAGTCAAGGAGAAGAAGGCTCTTCAGGCATTCTTCTGTTCAAACCATGGAAGTGAATATTGACTTCAGTCAAATATTTGCCTGCTCAAAGAACTATCCAAGAGGTAGAAGAAAGTCAGAAATATCGTAGTTCAAACATGTCAGCTTTTGCCATGTTAAAACTATAAAACAGGAAGTATCATCTGCCTTTAGAAATGGCTACATTTTAATGTGTGGTCACTACTGTAGAATCTAAAACTTTTCTAACAGCAGAAAACTATTGAGACCCTAAGTACCTTTAAACAACATGAATTTATGAATGTGTTTTTCTAAATGAATGTACAAAAGAGATCTAATTTAGAAACCAGTGGTGTACCAATCTATTAAGAACTGTTCTATGAGCCAGAAGCAGAGCCTGGCTCTGTTTCTTAAGACAGAGCTTTGTTTGCTAACAGTAATCACACGAAAATGCATCCTAAACCGAGTAAATATGGCAGTCTTTGCCCCGTAGTCATCTTTAAAGGAACATTTGAAATTGCCATTTATAGCCAGTTGCTATTGGTTATAATTACTTATTAACAGGCACCTCGGCAGTGTACTAACCTTTTATCAATTAGCGCACATTTGAAAGTCACTAACGAGTGGTTCCTTCTATTTCAGATTTTTGGCATGATTTTCAGCATGGTCCTTTGCTGTGCCATCCGAAACTCACGAGATGTGATTTGAAACTACTTCATCGTGAGAACTGCAATCTAGAGCTTTCATACTAAATGTCACAAGAGCGGCCTCAGCTCATTCTTAATATTCAGAGGACAACAGGAGCTAAAATAATTTCCTGTCCGTTGTACATTTGCACATGTATGGATGTCTGGCTTATTACTGGTGTGCCCCTTGAGTGAATGTCAGTGGATGTTGACTGAGAACGTATTTACGTGCGATCTGCGTGTTTCTAGTGTATGTATTGTACATCATGGGGTCTGTTTGCTGGGAATTCCTATTTCTTGTGATGTAAGAGTAACAATCTATTTAACTACTAGAAAAAGATAAAAAGCTTTGAGAAATGTTTCAAATTTGGCTAGTCAGAAAATGTGGTAATCAATCATTTCCTCAGACTTCAGCCATGAATGTGAGGTACATGCAATGATTGCAGGATTTCTAGTTCATGGAAGCAGCAAGTAGAAGAATCGGGGAATCAGACCTCAGCATCAAAACTGACTGTGTCTGAGTTGAGTATAGGGGTTTCTTGGGATTTTTTAATATACGTGCTCTCCCCAGAATGCAATAAACCAGAGTTTTAGAACTAAACACATCTCTAAAACTAAATATAGCATGGAAAATCTAATTTGAATAAGTCATGCTTTCCTAGTATTTAAAAACCAAAAAATCTCCCTCTGAAAAGAGTAGTCACCCAGACAATCATATGCCCTATAAAAATGAGTGTTGGGGGGTGGCTAAAAAAAACTTTTAATGACTTAAAAAAGCATATTCATTCTTTTACAAAGGCATGTGAGTATTGCTTCATCTCTTCCATTTTCTGACTCTGTTCTAAACTAACTGCAACCCTCACATCCTCAAAAGGGCTTTTGATCTCAAACTCTTCTGTATTTCTCCAACGGTAAGGACAGAAGGAAAGCAAGAGGTCTGGAGTTGCATATTTTGGGAAAGAATTTTTACTGGCACTGTGTCTGTGAAATATCTCATTACTTGAGTTTACATATTTTCCTAGTTTTTGTATTTATCTTATTTATTACCTAAAGAATTCTTCACCACAGATTAAAAACTATAGTTTCCACCACTTAAAATAAATAAACTGAGTCCTCAACGATTCACATAATATCTTAAGAGCATCCTTGCCAAACTAAAAGAAAACCGAAGTTGAGACAAGTTGAGAAAACAAAAACACATGCAGACAACATGAATAGATCCTTTCTTTGCAAGTCCCTACAAAAATAAAGTGTTTAGGTTCTTTTTGGTTTTAATACTTGCTTTTAAATAAGTAGAACCAAACTTAGGATCTTAATCGCCGTACTTGGCAGTTTTAATAATCTGTTAGACTTACTAAATTATGGGCTTTTTAAAAATTGCATTTTAGAAGGCCACACAAAAGTGAAAATAAGGGGGATCCTTGAAATCCCCACGTGAACTTCTGTACATGTAGGAACACAAGACTTTGGGTGTGCACTGAAGGAAGGTGCCGTGTTCCCATGCTACAAAACGTTTTGCTGAAAGATAGACCTGCTTGAAAGAGTCTCATTCCCATACAGCACCACCTCTCTCTCTACCATCCTTGCTACTGCTCCTAACTTTGGAGAAAACTTTTCCAGAAATTAGAAATAAGCTAAACACTTCACTGCACATGGCTACTTTACTGTGTCCTTAGTTACTAAAAAGATTATTTTTAGAAAAGAAAACTTCATGAAATATATGTTTGTACCCAGTAGTTGATAAATGTATCTTTTAAGCAAAGAACGGTCCATCTTTCTTGGTAGCTTTAGTTCCTTCATCTGCTTGAAGATAGGAAATAGCCCCAAGTGTGTACTCAGGTCTGTGCTGGACAGAATTCTCTCCAGTTCCCCATCTGAATTAACAAAGAAGACCACAGTAATTAAACATGGAAGAATAGAAATAATTTTTTTTAAAAAATTTAAGTGATAGACTAGAGATCTGTTCTAAGTATGTATCTCTTTGGGGTTAAACTATTCAAAGTAAGTGCATGAGTAAAATTAGAGAATTCCACCACACACACACACACAGATGCATATATGTATAGTCACAGATATATATACATAGAATATAGAGAGAGCTATGTCTATATAGTTATATAATCCCTATATATCTTAAATCTATCTAGATATATATCTTGAATACACATCTAGAGTTTATATACATATATGATTTGTATACACGAACGTAGGTATGTATGGATATCTATATGTACATATACATATACATGTACACACCTATAGACCTAAATTTTCAGTTATTTTTATTTACCTTAACTAATTTGAGGTCAGACCCAAACATTTTTATGCCTCTAATGCCAAGGCACCGAATTAAAACTTTTTAATGATGAAATATTTCAAGTTATTTCAAATTAAATTTTCTATGTACTAAAACTGCTTGTTGAAGTTATCTTAAAATCTTAGTATATCTTTTTACACATCTTCACCCAAATTACTTAGATGTCCATCTATCAGTTGACCCAAACAATATGGTAACATATGAAATAGACTGGTAACCTTTTTATAATGTTATTATTGGAGCTAGACTTAAAGACAACACCCTAAGGACTTTCCTTGCATACAGTTATATTTCTTTTTTAAAAAAAATTTATTATCACATTTGTCATACTGGGGATACATTGTGACATTAACAAAGGTTATTATAATATATCATGTTTGAATTCACCCCCTCCATCATTCTCCTTTATCCCCCCTCCCACATTCCTGGAACAGTTTCAACAGGTCTCATTTTTCCATTTTCATACATGAGTACAAAATATTTCCACCATATTCACTCCTACACCCTTTCCTTATATCCTCCCCTCTCCCACTGGTGCCAACCTCCAGACAGGACCCGTTTTGCCTTCCTGTCCTCTGTTTTTGAAAAAAGACATTTTTGTTTAAGATTGCTTTACAGGGAGTTTCATTGTGACATTTCTATGTAAATACACATTATTTCCATTAATATTTTTACCCAAATTGTACCACTTTTCTCCAGAAAATCTCCTTTCTTATCTGTGGCTCAATCTGTAAAACTAATCCAGGGCCCAGTACAGTCCCCCTACATCAGCTATAGTGGAAGCTGGCCTTTCCCTGCAAACAGTACTAACAGATTTGGCTGGGTGAGAATAGGGTTGGTGGGAAGATGGCAGTGAGGGGGAGAGCATGTTTTCCTTTCCAAAGTAAGTTTATGATTATAAAGAAGAGCTCCTCCCAGACAGAAGGTAATTTTCATGGCCCAGGGGGCAGCCACTGGGACTTCAGTGGGTGCACCACAGTCCAGCCCTCTGTTTCACAGCTGCCTTGACATCCTCTTTGATAGTAGCCCTTCAGTTTCTGCAAGCTCATTTCCTACCCCGGAAGGGAGCACTCAGCCCCTTGAAGCTAGGAAACTAGCTGCATCGTATTAGTTTGCGTTCATCAAAATCAGATTTGCATTTGTTTGTAAGGACAAAAATTTTCTAGGCAACCAGTTGTACCACTGAGCTATATCCCCAACCCTTAGGGGCTAAACTTTCTACTTTCTTATGGCATGATTCTTCATTTTGTACTATGTTATATACAAGCAGCCTTTTTTTGGTGTGGTACCTGGGTTTGACCTCCAGAACCTGTGCTCTCTAGGCAGGTGCTCTACTACTTGAGCCACCTTTTTGCTTTAGTTCTTTTTTGAAAAGAGTCTTGAGTTTATTTATGCTTTGGCCAGCCTGGACCTCTATCCTCCTATTTACACTTCCCATGTAGGTGGGATGACAGGTGCACACCACCACAGCCAGCTTTTATTTGCTGGGATGGAGTCTCTCAAACTTTTGGCCTGGGCTGACCTTGAACCGTGATCCAGTCTCTACCTCCTGAGTAGCTAGGATTAATAGGCATGAGTCGCCAACCCTGACTTACAGGTGTCTTTTTAAAAGTGAAAAGATTATACCATTATAGAATGTTATTAATTTTGGTATCCTTATAACAACAAAATAAATCCATTCCAGGAATCCACTGCTCAGATGGCTAGCCCATGCTCTTGGAAACAGGGAAAGAAAGCATGAAGAACAGAAGTAGCAGGTCCTGTATGCTGAGGAGCACAATCTATGCTGATTTCATAAAGTAAATGTACCAGAAACCCTTCCAAAGCTTTAGTATTTGTTTTTTGAGGGTTTTTGTATAATTTATTAATTTTTACTTATATTAAATAGCAACATTTAAATTATAGAAATTAAATTAAATATTGGTTATTAACTTATTTAATAAGTTAAAAGTGCTTAGTATACCTGGAAACTGGTGAATATTAGCTATTACAATTGTTTTGTTAATACTCTGATAGTTTGATTACTTACAAATTGGTTTTATATTAAACAAAACTGAAGACTCTTCTGCATGATATCAACTATCTGCATGAACTTATTCATTTATTGGATTGAATTAATGAATACCTTTTGATGCATTTCCCAATTTTACCTTAATTCAAAAACTTGATATCATTAGTTACACTGGAGTCTGTATACTTTTTTCTTGGCCTACTCTTTTTTTTCTTACGTTGAGATTACTATCACGTGTTCTGAGAAAATAAATTTTTTATAGTACTAGGGCTTGAACTCAGGGCCTTGCACTTGGTAGGCAAGCGCTCTACTCCCAGACCTTTTTTTGCTTTGGTTTTTAGAAAGGGTCTCATGCTTTTGCCTCAGGACAGCCTCAGATCACAATCCTCTTACCTCTGCCTCTCAAGTAGCTGGGAATATAGGCACGTGCCACCATGCTCATCTTGTTTGTTGTGATAGGAGCTCTCTAACTTTTTGCCCAGGCTCATCTCCAAGATCCTCCCACCTGTGCCTCCTGAGTTACCTGAAATTATAGGTTTGCACCACTATGCATATAGTTTCCCTGAGGACAACTTTTTTTTTGATAGCAGTATTGGGATTTGACCTGAAGGCCTCATGCTTGCTAGACAGGCGCTCTACCTCTTGAGCATTCCACAGCCCTTTTTTATGTGTGTTGGGTATTTTTGAGATAGGTTCTTGCTTTTTGTCCACAGTGGCCTCGAACCATGATCCTCCTGATCTCTGCCTCCCTAGGAGCTGGAATTACAGGCAGGAGCCACTGGTGCCCATGCTGAGAAAAGTCTTTATGAGAATACTGATATGCTAATGTGGCCAAGACAAGGTTACATTGAGGAAAAGCAGTCTTTTCTGGTGTGTTACAGTGAGATGAATTCTGTGATAACTTTTTGAACATGGGGAAAGTGGCAAAGGAGAGCGGTTCCTTCAATGTTAGTGTGTCTAAACTGAATCCAGAAGAACCCTTACAAATTAGCCTAGTCAAAAAGTGGTAGAGGTAGAGGAAGAAAAGGAGATTTCTGGGGCAAGCCTGCAAGAAGACCCCCAAACAGAGACAGCATTAATTCATTCAAGGAGGGCCTGTCATGAGCTATTGAGATAAAGGGCCTTGTAAAAGTGTATTTAGAAGTCTTATCTTTGTCCTGAGGTCACGGGGACATTTTTAAACAGTGAGTTTCAAAGAAAAATTTTTACTCAGCTATTGAAACTTTTAAAGATCACTCAGCTTCAGTGTGAGGAACGAATACATGGCAAAGACCAGGGTCCTAAGGATTTCTAACTGAAGTAATAGAAAGCCTATGAGAGAAGTTAGATATGATGGATGAGCTAAGGAGGAACCTGGACTAATTGCCAGGTTGTGCAAGTTCTGACTTGGGAGCTGGGACAGAATGACACCCAGGAGGAAATGAAGATGTGAGTAGCAGATGGCTACAGGATGTCCAAGAGGAAGTGTAAATAGATATTGGATACATGGCCCTGAAGCTCAGGAAAGAATCTGGATTAAAACTAACTCAGAAATCTTCCACATAAAAGTGATAGCGCCCAGCTCCAACAAGATACACTACCTCTCATGATTAAATCTCCACTGAGAAATTCAAGTTTAAAAACTTGGAACCCTCTGTGATAGCAAGTTCAAAGCTCACAATTATTTACTCCCATCTGTTTCTTGCCCTCAGAAAGTCTCGCTTAGCTGCCTGCATTCCTTCAGAACTTTCCATTTCTTAACTCCTTAAGCAGAAAAGGAAAGTTATGATTTCTTTAAGGGTGAAACCATCTGCAGATTACTGAAATGAGTGTAATTCCTAGAACACCTGAGGTCAAATTAATACCAACTCAACTTTTTTTAGATGTTCTGTATTTAGTGACCAAGGGTCAGTAAGACAAATAAAACTATTAAAACTCTAGACCTTCTTTCAAAGTTTGGAATCTTCACTTTACAGAATCAAGCAAAACCACCCAGAAAAATACAGTCCAGACCTTTCTTACCATTGCCAGCTGAAGACCATGGCATAGATTTCGAGTCATTTTGGAGAAGGGTAGAAAGAAAAAGCATGAAGAAAATGAGAAAAGGTTGATTTCATCCTCATTAGGACTAATTATAAATTCATGACTACTGCGTTGTGCATGCAGATATGTGGCCTTCACTTCTGGGAGACCCTTGGGAAGCAGAGAGGTCAAGGCAAGAGGTGCCTTGTATATTGGACCACTAGCTCCCATTGTTTCCCATACTGTAATAGTTTCAAGGGAAGTTAGGAGTGAAAGCCAAATTGTAGTGGACTGAAAAGAGAAATGAGGATAGCTGGTATAATGGGTTTCTTCACAAAAATAAACGTGGAATAAGAACACAAGGAGTGATGGGAAAAATAACTAGAAGTTTGCACAGGGTTAAAAGAGGGTTGTTTGCTTTTGGGTTTTTTGGTTGTTTTGTTTTTCTTTTTAGGATGGAAAGAGATGGAAGGATGCTTCATACTGAGAAGGTCAAGAAAGAGGAAGTAGAGAAAGATACATGAGTACCTTCTGGAGGAGATGAAGGGTGGAATCAGGAATATCTTCTGAATCTAGTGGTAAAGATGCTGAATTTGTTAGGATTTTTCAGGTGTGTCAGAAAAAAAAAGTGGAGGTTTCTTTGAGGATCAGGCTGGCTTCAGATGAGGCCCCAGTGATATCAGTAGGTCTACCTCTCCTCAGTCTCTCTTGGTGTCTTCTAGTTTGGCTCTTTTTTTTTTTCTCAAGATGGCCATTTGCAAGAGATGCCAAAGATGGCCAGAAGTGGATCCAAACTCACATTCTACAGACTCAGGAACTCCAACAAGCCAAGCACTCCTCTTTCCTACAGTTAAACGTTCTAGGATTGATTTCTGTTGGAAGGGATCAGGTCATTAACTAGTAAAGCTTGATAGAGCCTGCATACATGTCCACCCCAAGAGCCCCACTCACACCACTTGAATGGAAACCAGGTGTGCCAAAAACTCCCAAGGAAAATCAACATGAAACAGAAGAAAGGACATAGGCACTAAGTAGACAGAGCGAGAAGGTAGCAGGAGGATAGCAGAAGTAAAGAGAGTAAGACAGAATTGTCTTAAAAGAATAAGGAAAATATGTAGGACTTAAAAGAGGGTGGAGAAAAACACAACATCAAGCAATGGAGTTAGAATGGCTATTACCTTGATAAAAGAATTTTTGTGGCGTTTAGACTCAGACTTGGGTCTCTTAAACAAAGAAAACAATTTCTTATATAAAATTCTATTATTAGAATTTCTTGTTGCCAGGAAGTACCATGTTACTACCTTCCAGTACATCCATGCTGGCCCATTCACTAAAGGGTTTGACCATGAGAAAAAGAGGTTGCTGCTGCACTGACCCTAAACTTATCCAGCTATGTTTATACATACGTGTGTGTGTGTGTGTTTAAAAAACTCTTTTTAGTTCAGTGAGAAAGAGAGCTTTTTCCTGGAAGCACTGAGTCTTAAACTTCCTCTGCCAATAACTGACTCCTTTAAACTTTAAATTGAATTTGAAGGTCACTTCAGAAGTTCCAGTTTCCATCTTTCTCCTATTTTGTCAGCAGTGATTCTTCTTCCTCTTCTCATTTCTAAGCTCTCTGTATCCATTGTCCCTGTCTGAAACCTAAAGGACACCCAAGACCCTTCAAAGTAGCACTCCCATGTCCCCAAATGTCTGGATCCACTTGAGGCAAGTAGCTGGTCACCCAATTCCTGAGCTCTGACCTCAGGATTTTCTGTCTTAGACAACTCCACTTTCAAGAATAGTTAACAGTATTCACATGTGCTATTCCAGTTGGATTTCCCTAGAGCGAGGAGGCCCCATGTCGAAGCCTGGCCTCTTCCCTACAGGTTGAGGAAGCCTATTTAAGTAAATAAAGACAAAAAAGAATGGAATTAAAATCTCTCAGAGCTGGACTGTTTATAAAGGACTCCCCTAAACCTCAAGTCCCTGGGGAAAAAATTTTCAGAATGCATGAAAATTATTTGTGGTTAGTGCCAGGTAGGTTTGAAATGTAGACTTTTTTACTCATTAATCAAAGATCTATATTTGATAAAGTTCTATATGATACGCAGCTTTAAGTGTTCATGTTATCAACTGATAAGAGAACCCTAAGCCCCAGATTAGTATTTGGAGATCATGCAAGTATTAACTTCAAGTATTAAGATAAAAATAATACAGGTTCCTGGCTGTTTTGTATGCAATGCACAACTATTTTCTCCCCATTGGCAAAGCACTGATTTGATACTAATCTATGTGTACTACCTCCCTCTTGGCTGTGGGCACTGTCACCATGCGAGCATTTGCAAGATGCTCAGCTGACTAACCAGCAGCTGTGGGATACAGCAAAGTCAAATGGCTCTGCTGACAATCAGCGTTCACTTTTATGTTGGCAGTGTGGATGGCGAGTAACAGACAAGTAGAGGATAAATAGTCTTTGTGAGGCCAAGTCTATAGAGCACTAGGTCTGTCTCACTTCAAGCAGCTGTTGAAGCCGAACTCTTAAGAAGGAGTATATGTAAAGAAGGTAAATAAAAATAGCCATTTACCCAGCATGTTCAGCAGAACCGAGTGTCTCAGTATTGATGAAGAGTTAGATTGGAATTGAGATGGCTACTCCATCCAATCCCGCAGCATTCTCCCCCGTCCTTCAAATCTTTCATAACTGTGCTAATGTTTCATGATATCAAAAACCAAAATAGCACAAGTTGCCTTTGGTATAAATGCTGGAAAGTGTCTCCTATTACTTGAAGGACTATGAAGGATTTAGAAGTCCACATGTAAAATGATCATGGCCTCTTTTCTGGGCTTTGTAAATTGACCTTTTGGGATATAACTTGCATAGTTCAATTAGCCCACTAGAGTAATTAAAGAAAATAGTTTTCATAGTCTTTACTGACTTTTTGGTGGAGTTTTATCCAGTGAATGACTAGGATAAAGTATTATATGGCAGATTTCACAGTTCTTTCTCCCCAACTCCACTCCAGTCCTACTTCCAGCCTTTGGAAGACGCATGTCTGGCACCCGGATGCCATGTGTTCCTTCAGCTTCTGACCACATTACCTTTTCCCACAACTCTGTAGTAGTCCCACATTCAATTTCTGGGTGGATACAAGGCTCCTGGCCCTCTGTTAGAAGAAGCCACTCAAGGCTGCCTTTTACTAGCATTTCATGTCTCTTTCTGCATTTTACCTGTGGCCTGCTCTTTCATGTGAAAATCGTGAAAAGCTCTTTCATATTTTCTTCTAAAGCCTCTTACATGCTCTAATGCCTTTGTGGGTATGCGTATGGATGAAATCGCACTCCAGTGTACACAAGTTACTGGGAAACAATGATATTTTATTAATTCTATTCCAGGTAAATATATTTAACCAAATTGCAAATGATATTGTCACTACAGTTAGACAGAAAATCCCACCAGATAGGACTTCTGCGGTTTGGTGCAGTAGTTAGTCTTGGTGGCCTCATATATACAGTCACTGTTGTCAGTGTTACACTGGCCACACTTGCAGCTTACAGCAACGGGGTAGGAGAAATAAGGAGCAACGTGGTGTGGGCATCCAGGTATTTCTACAGTTCTGTAGATGAAGTCTCTGTATGTGCACACATCCTGGGACAGCGCGTATTTGGGAAGAAACAGCTTGCCATTGATATCCTAGGAAAGAATAGAAAAGGGAGCCTAATGTGACACAGCTTTAGAAAACACACAGGTAATGGAAACAGATCAAAACCAACTTAATTCTACTCCTTCCTCACAAATATGACTAGAGGAGGATTCTTTAGCCCTATTCCCCAATGCCAAATTAACACATCTACACTGAATCCTACAGAGACAAAAGTGACATGTGTCTCTATTTTTTTCTTGATCATGGGGACAAGATAAGTTTTAAATCTGGGGACTAAAACTATCGTAAATTTATCTGTCCCCATTTTTCTGAGAAGATCTATGTAATCATGTAAACTGTGTGCTCTGCTTCTTAATGAGCCAATTACTATTAGTTTGGAAAATGAGGTTGTGATTTATCTCATTTCCTTCCTAGACAGGGATGCATGCTTCCAGGTCTACATAATTTACAAGTAAAAGAAGTGCGATGAGCGACATACCCGTGTCATGCAATACCCGGCACAGATGGTGGTGTTGACGGTTAAGCAATAAGCACACTCCCTCCTATCGACGTACATTGTATACTCGGTTGGGATGCAAAAAGACATTACTTGCCCACATACAAGACCAAACAGCACGGTCATCAGGAAGAGAGCACTCATGCTAAATCAAAGAAAAAAATTAAAGAGGCTAGTACATGTATCCGTTCAGGACATTCAAAAGCACACTTGGGAAAAGTTTATACATATATATGAACACAGGCACACAGCCAGTAATAAGTACAACTACCATTTACTGAATGCTTCCTTTGTCTTAGGGCAAAACTGAACTGTAATTTTCTAAACACTTTTGTTCAATAGTTTAAAGGCCAACAAGCATCTTGGTCATAATAAGAAATGGCACAGAAATCAAGAAAAAAGCATACCCAAACTTTGATACCATCTCAATGCATTAACCTTGCATATAATCCCACCCATTGCCAGTGAAGGAAGATACTATGAAGCTAGAGAAAGTCCAGAAAATCTTAGCTAAAATTGCCAATGGTGTTAGGGACTAATTCAGAAATCTAGGGTCCCCCTTCTGAGCCCTTAGAATATTCTTTTAAGGTTGAACATACATTTGGAGCAAAGAAAACCTTATCTTACACAGAAGATGTATGGAAGTCATCACCTTAAGAATATAGTTTGACTCATTGAGAACAATATGATCAAGAATGACCAGTCTATTATGGGTTAACCAGGAATATTAAATATTTTTGGCTGCATGAGAGACCACAGAGGGTCCACTCTGCCCCAGACATAAACAGAACATGCACCTCAGTAGAGCGTGTTTAATGGAGATTTGTTATTGCAATGATCTGGGTAATGTTATGACATAATTATTTTGGTTCTGCTACTGAGAGAGGGTAATCAAATTTTAGACTTTAGGATGTAGGTTGATCACCTCCAAGATTAAGAAGAGTTTTTTAATTTTGTTAATATTGTGCAACTAGCTAGGAGTGTTTGGATCTTTTTTCATCTCAAGTATCATTGTCCGTAAAGAAAATACACACCTTAATGGAGCAATACTGTTACCTTCAAACACAAAGTTGTTTGTTCATTCTATTAAATTATTATTCCCTTAACATTTTTATTCAGTCATCAAAAAAGTATCAATATTTTCTCAAGTCAATTATATCCCAACAGCATTTAAGTTGCAGACTCTAAAACTTCTGTTTACTGAAACCTCATACAATTGGACTTAGTTAACCAGAATTTTTGTCTTCAATAAACTTATAAGGAAAAATGAAAACCACATTACACAAGTTACCAGGGATTTATTTTAAATGTCAACTTCTACAGATTAGTAGTCATTCCAACTATTTTTATTCCTAGAGTGAGAACTGCAGCTAAATTGGATAAATGTATATTGAGCATCTCTTAGTCAGGCTGAGAGACACAAAATAGATATGACGAGTCCATGACCTACAAGGCTGATGGCCCAATGGAACAGCCAAGTATGAACAGGAAAAATAAAAGTACAGATTGTTCCATGCACTCTGAAAGAACCCAAATTATGACTTGGAGGCCCATAATTATCAAAGATTTCCTTATGTTTACTATATTTATTTGTGCATAGATAGGGAAGTAAACTAAGCCATTTTAGAAAGAAGGGTTAAATAAATTATTGCATAATCAAGCAATTCCTCGGAGGTTTTTGTTTTGTTTTGTTTTGTTTTGTTGGTATTTGAGTTAGGAAGCAAACACATAAGAATTACTGTGACTTCATTAGGTTGCTTTATGTAGTTCTGGGAATCGAACACAGAGCCTCAGCCCAGGCTACTGCTAAGCTACAATCCCAGCCTGAAGACATAAGAATTTCATGGAATTTGGTTTTCTCAAGTGTTTCACATATGTGAGCTCCCTCTACAGGATAGAGTTGGTTCCATTATATTAGAGCCACAGATGTAAAGAATCCTCTGCAAGATCTTGAAAAAACTAACCAGGGGACTAGAGGTGTGGCTCAAGCAGTAGAGTGCCCACTTTGCAAGTGTGAAGCCCTGAGTTCAAACCCCAGTCTCACCAAAAAAAAAAAAAAAAAAAAGGTTATATTTTAAAAGGCTGGGTGCTGATAGATTATACCTGTAATCCTAGCCACTTGGGAGGGTGAGATTGGGAGGATCCTGGTTTGAGGCCAGCCCAGGCAAATAGTTAAGAAGATCCCCACCTCCACAATAACCACAGCAAAATGGACTGGAGGTGTGACTCAAGCGGTTGAGCACCTTCTTTGTGAGCACAAAATCCTGAGTTCAAATCCTAGTCCCACAAAAAGTCAACTAGAAAAATTATGTAAAATTGTAGCCCCTCATAGTCATATAGTTCTTGACTGTCTAGATAGCCATCCACTTGAGTTTTCACCATAGGAAACAATGAACTTCCCACACTTTAACTTTTAGCTCTACAATTCTATATAAAGCAGATGTGTACCTAGTAGTCAGAATATTGGCTAGGTCTTAAGAGCAGAATTCTCCCATTGAGCTATGAGTAATTGACAAAAATATTAAATCTGTCAGGGCCTTATTTCCCCCTCTGCAAAATAGAAAGAAACAATTATACCTGAATCTTAAAAAAAAACAAAACTACAGGATGAAAAACCATGTTATACATTTTTTCCATTGTTACTCTGTTCGCTATGGACACTATTTTTTGAAGTTCTCATAAATATAGAACTTTAAGGTACAAAATAAAACTTTAAAAAGTGCATATTACAAGCCATAGTACTTATAAAACTGTGGACACGAAGAACTATCCTTTCTCCTTCACTTCATCATTGTAAATAGTGAAACTTCACCCACATAATCTTTCTGAACCTTGATTCCTTCATCTACAAAAGGAAGGTTTAGAACCAAAAGACGTTTGAAGTTCTTTGCAGCACGATTTGTGTGTGATTCTGTGTGCTAAATCAGTGTTAGATCTCTCATCTACAAATTACTAATCTAGAATTCTGTTTCTATATTTAATTGTAGTTGCTGTAACTGAGAAATTTTAAATCGTTGTACCTTTACTCTTCTATATTTACTTTACTGTCCTAAAATCATTAAAAAACCAAAAAAAATGTGAAACACTTGGAACTCTGTGGAAAAAAATTATGTAACTACATAACACTATATAAATCAGTGTTAGTTAATACCTCCCTATTCCCAGCTATCTGTCACAATTTCTTCTTTATTGTTAACTTTTTCATCTCTGCAACTTAATTGTCTCTTCTCAGATCATAATTTTAGAGGGCATGATTTCAGGCAGGACATAAGTAATGAGAGATGCCTTCTTCAGAAACATGACCATATATGTCCCTACATCCAGTGTTTTTCCTTACCCCAAGATATGTTCTGCCTCTTTCTCCACTTTTTCTCCATTCCTTTTTAGTCTACTTTCATTCATAATGGACATATTTCTCTCTGTTCTGCTGATTTTCTGCACCAGTCTTCTCTCTCAAAATTCCTTACTGTATCATGAAAGGAATCAATTGCCTATGAGCAATCCTGGAACCTCACTAAATCAGTCTGTCTTTCTAGACAGCAAAATGTATTTAATGGGTATGTGGATTTCACTATTAAACAACTAAAATCATCTTTTGATACAGAGTATATTACCTCTGTAGGTACTCAAAACTGAATTTACTGTAAGATTTCCCAGAAGAATAATTAAATCAAGGATGGCCATTAATAATTGAGAATATTTAATAAACAGATTATTGAAGTGATTAAAAACATTTAAGCAAATGCAAACAGGAGAAAGCCATGCACATCAACCACCCTCCGTTAGGAATCTGGTTGACTCTGTCTCTTGCCTGATGGTCATGATTCACTCACCTTCTCCCACTACTGAAAAAGTCGAAGCAATAATTTAAAATTTTATAGCCTATTAAAGAAAAGTATCTCTCAGCATTTGCAATTTTAAATAAACGCTACACTGTGTAAATGAAAGTAAATTCAAATAAGCACATTTCATTTACAGCTCCGTCTCAGTCCAAACACCTACCTTCCTTTGCATTGGTGAGCTGCTGCTGTGATGACCCAGAATCGAGGTTCATTTTATACCCTTCAGGATAATTCCCCTCTGATCTTCTTGTTTATATAATTGCATTGAATTGCTGCTTTCTTATCTGAAGACATCTATTGAAAATTCATACTAAACCCCAAATAAAATGTGTTTAGACAAACAAGTTCACAATATCTTCCCCCTGGAAACGCTGACATTATTGCACTATGCATTTTCCTCTCTCCTATTTCAAAATAAAATTATGCTTTAAAATATATTCTTTTATTAATATTAACAAATATTAATAAAGGATAGACACAGAATGGGGAAAAAAACAACAAGAAACAAAACCACCTTAACGTCATGTAAGTAAGTCTTGGGAATGAAAATTTGTTTGGAGTTTGAATCCTCCAAATTTTATCTCATTGTTTATTGTAAAAATATATAAAATTATTCCTCACCTACAAAGCAAGGTAACTTCTTTCTGGAAATGTAGGGCAACTGGCCCATGTGTTGCTGATTAAAATTTTTTAATTAGCTCAAAATATTTTATTTTTTCTTCGGATTTTAAAATATATTAAGTACAACTTACATGAGTGAAATAACACTTGTTTAAATAGCATGGCTAAATCCAGCGTGATGTCAAACTAACTAGAGATCAAATTCTGGCTTTCCCATTAATTAGCTGTATGCCAGTGGCATCCTTGCCTCTGTTTACTTCAGTTTTCTCTCCCACTAACCAGTGCTATCAGCCAATGGCGGTAGAGCATACCTGTACTCCCAGCACTCAGGAGACTGAGGCAAAAGGATCATGAGTTCAAGACCCTATCTCAGCAAGACCCTATCTCAAAAGAAAAAAAAGGACTATCCATGTTTCTATTTAAGGCACTTATATAAGTGGCTGACATGTAATAAGAATTCAATAAATGGTAGTTAATTTATAATACTGCAACATATTTTTAACAAATATTTTTCACAGTGCCTGGTATCTAGCAGTCAATGTATTGGTTGAATGCACAAATGATTGAGGGAGAACATGCATAATTATTGAATTTTGGAACCAATGTATACTTTTATCCATCTCCATAACTATATTTCAATTTTGCTCCTTTAAACCACTTTTCACTGAAACTAAAGTAATAGGCATTTCCAAATTGCCCTCAGGAAAAAAGTTCCAACTCCTTAATATCATTTGCAAAGCCCCTTGTGATGTGTTTACCTCTCCAGTTTCACCTTTCCCCACTTCCCACCCCCTCTCTGTCTTTGAGCCACACCCTTTCTCCACTTTGTGTTTTTGGCCAAACTGAACTGAGCATCTCAAATTAGTCAATTGTTTCTTGCCTCTAAGCTTCTCCATATTTCATTCCCTCTGTTGTAATGCTTGCCTGATCCTCTTGCCATGCCTCACCTGGGAAAACACTACTTTGGCAAAGCCTTCCCTGATTCCTCAAGGCTTTCCTCATGGTCAGTGGTTTTAAGAGAATTGGAAAAAATATACAGAAACCCTGGCATATCGTAAATGCTCAATAAATCATAGATATTCTTACAGGTTATTAATGACACTTATGATGCCTGGCATAAGTGAGTTTCCCTGGAGAAAAATGATGGAGAAGTCAAGGCACAGTCTGGGATATGTTAAAGAAAAACTTTAGTAAAAAAATATATGTAGTGAGCAAAGAATGATTCACAAAACCAGGCAGCCCTCAGAGCCAGTAGAGGTCCAGACAACTCAACAACACAACATAAGCAGGCAGCATTTATGGACAAAAGGTAGAAGTAAGGTACAGAAACAGCTCCATTGCCTCAGCTCAGTGTATCTCTGCAGGAATATGTTCTGATCAGTTGGCTGCCATGATTGAAGCTTGGCTGGTGTGACAGGCTAAGACTTAGTAATTTGTTACAAAAGAATACTAAATTAGATCATAATTCATTAAGTAGGGACAAATAGTACAGAGGCATCCTCAGGCAAAATTTAACAGATATAAACCAAGAATAGGCAATCCAGGGACCCCTAAATCTTGGGAATATGAGTTAGTATGCAGTAAGAGAATTCTGAAACTAGGGAAAGTGGAAAGAGGGTGTCAAGCTTAACCTTGCTTTAAGAGGTTAGGCAAGATATTTTAACACAAGAGTATGATAACTTGGGGAATGTCAAGTGTTTCTTTATACTGGAATTCATGCCTCTGTTGCTTACAGCATTAATTGAAGAACTCATCTCTAGTGGACTTAGAATAACCCGGTGACACACATAGGTAGACGATAGGTAGAGTGAGTGAGTGAGTTAGACAGAGCAGTGAGCTGTATACTTATGTGCACATATAGTATAAGCACTCACTGATATGTGTGTCTCCCTCAGCGCATGCTTCAACTCACATAAGCCCTATTTGTCTTTCATGATTTACCTGAGAACACACTGCTTTTGCACTCAGGTATATGATCCTTGCTATTAAAGGAATCCATAAAGATTGAGCTTTTACATCTGACCCAGATTTATTCTCCCACCTAAAATAACTATAAAGCAGGACAAATATAAAATAATCATTCTATACATACTGGATATCAGTTTGTAAAAAGTGATTCCAGAGAGATGTAAAACAAATAAGGGAGTGCCTCTTTACTGCCAGGAGAAAGCCTGGCCATGATAAAAGAGAGATACTAAGGCAAAGGCCAGAACTACTGCCAGCCTGAGGACATGGACCCAGGAATCCATGGAACCCAGGCAGCTAGAGCTCATATAGAATAATATTGGCGATGACAGAGTTGTGCAGAGAGAAAATTCTAGAGATTTGCAGAAGACCTCTCTGAGTATTTAACTAAAACTGATCAACTTATGCATGTGAGGAAACTATCTGAGAATAGGGAAAGAAATCCCTGAATAGATTAAAGAGAACAATCTTAGACTCACACAGGATAAGGCATGGGGTCTTTTCCAGCCTACAATAGTGAAAAATTCTTAATTTATGGAAAATGAGATAGTATTCAGAATGGTTTTTGCTTCAATTGTGAGGAAAATAGCCTCTGATTAAATGCCCTC